GCTTGATTGCAGTTGTTGCTGCTAAGGGTGGCCCAACCAGTTATTAGGTTTAGGGGGCAATCACTTTTTCACACAGGGCCATGTAGGTTTGGATTTTTTTTCCCCCTTAATAATAAAAACCTTCATTTAAAAACTGCATTTTGTGTTTACTTGTGTTATCTTTGTCTAATATTTAAATTTGTTTGATGATCTGAAACATTTAAGTGTGACAAACATGCAAAAAAATAAGAAATCAGGAAGGGGGCAAACACTTTTTCACACAACTGTATATATATATGTGTGTGTGTGTGTGTGTGTGTGTGTGTGTAATTGTTGAGACACTTTCACATTTTCTTTGTTAGAGGTCTTAAGAGGGATCCAAATCAAAACTCATCGCTCAAATAAAATTAATAAAATTATTATTTGTCTATACAAGAAACCATATTATACAAATGTAAAAAAATAATTAAAAAAACTAAAAGCAATCGTATCCTCATTGTGTAGAAATGAATTAAATCATAAATCCAAAGGTAATCAAACCTAAATCACGACTAAATAATCTAATATATCAGAGTATTTTAGTATTGTAATCACTGTTTGACTAATATCCTCGCTCCAATGTAATTAAACCAAAACCCCAAAATAAACATATTTAGTAAACATCAGTAACATGAATTGAAAGAAGCTGAGTTTTTTTATGATGAATATAATGTTAAATGTTTCTACAGATACATTTAAATTAATCTGCCACACATGCCTTAAGTTAATATAAATTCATATGGATTTCACATCCACAAATCATAATGCATGAAATGGAAAACTGTTACTCATATCTAATCACTAAACTCAAAATGGTACCATGCCAAAGTAAAACCAGAATGTTCTCTTTTGTCAATAGTCTGTTTTTATTTCGAAGGAAAACATCGGAACCGGAAATGCCTCTAAGTACACACTTTGGCGTCATGCATGTATCATTGGGAGAAAAAAAGGCGGGCTCAGATGTCTATTATTCTTCAACTACGTCCGCATATATGCTTTAAGTACCTCCGCTCTCCAACTTTATTTCATTAGTTTAACTAACGTAAACCTGACAGGATGAGTGGCCGCGGAAAAGGAGGAAAAGGACTCGGCAAAGGAGGCGCTAAGCGTCACCGTAAAGTGCTCCGTGATAACATCCAGGGCATCACCAAACCCGCGATCCGCCGTCTGGCTCGCCGCGGCGGAGTGAAGCGTATCTCCGGTCTGATCTACGAGGAGACCCGCGGTGTGCTGAAGGTCTTTCTGGAGAACGTGATCCGTGACGCCGTCACGTACACCGAGCACGCTAAGAGGAAGACGGTGACCGCCATGGATGTGGTGTACGCTCTGAAGAGGCAAGGCCGCACTCTGTACGGCTTCGGAGGCTAGAGACCAACGACTGATATCAAGACAACACAACGGCTCTTTTAAGAGCCACCCAACACTCCTAAAGAGCTCTTAACCTGTTTCATCAGAACCGGTGGTGGCTGGTCAATAGAGGGTGTTGGGGCGCATCCCCGCCTTGAGCCACAACAAATAAATTGAATGATTATAAACTACGAATTGTCAATATTTGTGTTTTTGAAATATGGAATCGCCCAGTAATATGTGTAAAAGATAGCTGCGGTAAATATATGCTCTTCCTGCACTTTTCCAGTTGTGTCACATGAAGCAATGTCTGTTTCTTATGTTCAGTTTATAAGCACAGGATCCATTTCTACCGGCGGAATGCGATCGTCTTATTTATGAATTATTTGCGTCTGTACGTTTTGAAATTCAGATTGTGACGTCATTATTAAATAACCCAGAATATGATTATTTTCTCTTAAGTTCTAAAACTTATCAAACCCGACAATCAGGAATGAACAGCCTCACGTGACCGAATGAAATGATGATAAATGATGTAAAAAGTGTTTCGTCTCTATATATATATATGTGTGTGTATTATATACTGCTTTTTTCATGTTGGAATAAAGGTTAAACATTTAACTGTAAAGTAGTAATGCGTGTTTGATACCTTAATGTTTTTGCATTAAATCATTCTGGGATGTTTGCTGAGATTGATTGGATCTGGCACAGCCCTACAGAGAACATGTTCCACCAGACGACACTGGTTAGATCGCTTCCTTTAAATTATACAGAATATGACTTCCTTATTCACTCAATGGAATCAACTTCAGTCAACACTTTCAGAATCAAACTTTTTTTGTTCTAAAATCATTTTTATTTTTATGGTCAACAGCATCTTTATTTTAAAACTACATTTATGAACTTGATGCTCTTCATAGGAGCAAGGATGTGACAACAATATGGTGGAAGAACACAATTTTGGAGCCATTTTAAAATACTTATGTACTAAAATACATTTTTATACCATAATAGCTTTGAGGACCTTTCAGTCTAAACTTGTACAAACACTCATCACAAAAGTGTTATTGGAGTTATGTGGTCCATTCATCTAGTTTTTATTATTGAGAGTCTACTATTAAACTATTAACTTAATTTGAGGATGACGAGAGTCCTCTGTTGATTAGTTTTGATCTGCTAGTAAAGACAGAAATAAGGAACCTGAAGAAATTCATTAAAGAAGTTTACCCAAAAATGTCTGAAGATCATCAAAGTTACTCGTTTCATAAATGAAAAACTCTCCGATTTTGTCTTTTTGTTGAAAGATGTAAAATGATTATCTGCCGATTTCCGCAGCCCAAAAAGAAAAAGATAACTTAAAAAAGACTTTTTTGCTGGCGGAAAAAAAATGAGAAAAAAAATGTATTATTGATTTTTATCAAAAAAGTACAATGGTGAAACAGTAAAGGTATAATAAAATAAGACGCAAAAACAACAAAGCTAAAAATATAATATATTCGGATTGAGTGGTCGGATGCACATTATCACACCTATTTTATTTAGATAATACGTTTTAATTCCTATACAAATAATGCCAATATTCGAGTAATTATTTACATCTATATAACAGTGTTTATTCTTTATCTTTTTGCATTTCAGTGTTGTGTGTGTATAAGCCGATTTAAAGTCCTCAGCCTGCTATAGAAGGCTGTACAATCCATTTTCTGTCTATGTACACATTTAAAAATGGCATCTGTGCAATAATAGCATAAAGGTATTATAAATCGTATTTTATCTGTAAATTATCTTAATTATTGTTATTACTCAAAAGCTGAACACATTTGAACACAAGATAACTGAGCGGGAACTTTGAATTTTCTTTTATCCAATTGCTGAGCTGCAGTGTCACGCGCATATTATTGAACCAATCAGCGGTGCCGGCACGCCGGCTCCGTCTATATAAACGAGACGCTGTCGTTTAGAAAACACAACTACTTTTCTTGAGTGAAGAGAAGAAGACTCAAGATGGCCAGAACCAAGCAGACCGCCCGTAAGTCGACCGGAGGAAAAGCTCCCAGGAAGCAGCTGGCGACCAAAGCTGCCCGTAAGAGCGCCCCGGCCACCGGCGGAGTGAAGAAGCCCCACCGTTACAGGCCCGGTACCGTGGCTCTGAGGGAGATCCGTCGCTACCAGAAGTCTACCGAGCTGCTGATCCGCAAGCTGCCCTTCCAGCGCCTGGTGAGGGAGATCGCTCAGGACTTTAAGACCGACCTGCGCTTCCAGAGCTCCGCCGTCATGGCTTTGCAGGAGTCCAGCGAGGCTTACCTGGTCGGTCTGTTCGAGGACACC